ACCAAAAACACAGCGGGACAGACAGAGGTTCTTATTTAAAGCCAAACCTCAGAAATGTCCTGTAGGTCCTGGAGGTGGGAGGGGTGTGCATTCAATCTTAACTGCTGTGATAATTTGTCCTTATCTTTAAGCAGTAAAGTTTTGCATGGCAATACAAGATATATTGTCACTGAACTTGGGTTTAAGCTTGTTACCCAGAATCAAGGACAGGCCAGTGTTGTGGTCAGATTGAATGCCACCCACAGTGTCTACCTCTTGGTCAGGATTGGTTAGAGGTTTAAAGATATTACATTACATTTACATTTATTCATTTGGCAGGTGCTTATATCCAAAGCGACTTACAAGTGAGGTACAATACAACACAAGCGGAAAACCATATGGAGTCAACAATGTTAGAAGCACTGCATGACCAGGTTTCAGAGGTTGGCCAAGCAAGTTACAAACTAGCAGGTAAATCTAACGAGTACGTTAAACCATTAGATGACTTTTTTTAATAATGTTATTTTACAGTTTAGTAGGAGACAGACTGAGTCATGAGAAGTTCCTTTAGGGGGTCTTGTTTTGGGTGCTCAGGTGAGAGCCGAAGAGCTGTGTCTTCAGATGTTTCTTGAAGACAGAGAGGAACTCAGCAGAATGGATAAAGTGTGGAAGGTCATTCCACCATCAGCGGACAATGGCGGAGAAAATCCTGGATAGTGATTTTGCGCCACAATGCGATGGGACCACCAGGCGCCATCCGGTGGCAGAGTGTAGCAGTCAGGAGGGAACACAGGGTTGCAGCAGTGAGTTCAGGTAGGTAGGTGCAGTTTTGTTGGTCACCCTGTATGCAAGCATCAAAGAGAGGTGTAACAAGCATCAAAGAGAGGTGTAACATGAGGCCTTTTTGGCTGGTTGAGAACCAGATATGCAGCCGCATTCTGTATCAACTGCAGAGGCTTAAGCCAAGGCCAGCCAAGCCAAGCATTGCAGTAGTCCAGTCTTGAGATGACCAGTGCATGGACAAGGAGCTGTGCAGCATATTCAGATAGGTAGGGCCTGATTTTGCTGATGTTGTAGAGTGTGAATCTGCATGATCTGGTAGTCGTAGCAATGTGGTTGGTGAATTTTAGCTGGTTATCAAACTACCCCAGGTTCCTTGCAGACCTGGACAGAGTTAGTGTCGTTGAGCCTAGCTGAACGGTGATGTCGTATTGAAGGTGGCACTCCTTCATCCAGGCTAAGATGAACAATGCTGCCTCCTTTGCTGCCACAAATTTATAATACTAGAAATGTAGTCTCTGAGGAACAAACAAAGGCATTCGCTCTGTATGTGACGTAGTCTTCTCTCATTAATTATATGAATAGGAATAGGAATATTTCTGCTTTAAAGTAAGACTTTAGAAATGTGACATAAGGCACATCCGTTCTGTGGAGTATTTTGTATGGACAATAGGAAAGAAATGTTTAGGTTCTGCAAATAATGTCCTGTAAGCAACCTTTGTTGATTTGATCACCACAAATTACCATTGGTTTCAGTCATAATGTAATCATTAAAACGATTGGTCCAATCAGCAGACAGTGACAGGTAATTGAGCAGAGTGGCATTCTGTGTCCCCTGAGCTGCTTGAAAAAGCACAGGGTCCTCCTAATTCAGAAGACCTCCATACACTCCATTCATTTCATTTACATTTGATGGGAAACACCCCACTCTGCTTCTCCACTTCCTGAGTCCTTCTTTCTCCTCCTTTTATGATTAAAAACAGTCCTATAATATGTAAAGTGGAGTAATCCATCACAGAACAATTTATAAGTCAAAACACTCCCAGGATATGGAAATGTGTGTGGGTGCTACTGTAATTCAAACACTGGCTGTGTGGTATACAGATGTAGCTGGCTCCCGTTCTCTATCCACTTGCTCTACACTTTATTCCCTGTCATTTCTCTGCCTGTCTTTCAAATTGTCTTTTCAACATTTTTTTCCACCATCTTGCTCTGCCTTTTTCAGCTCCTCTCATTAACCCTTGATCTCTCTCGCCCTCCCTCATCCTCTCACACCTCTCTTTCTGTCTGTCTCTTCTATCTCCTCCAAACTTTTCCTTTCTTTTCTCTTCTTTCCCTCCCTTTCTCTTTCCTTTTCTCCACTTTTCTTTCTCTCTTGCTTTCCCATCTTCTCTCTCCCTCTCTGTCTTACTGAATTGTTGTAATTGTTCCCCAGTCCTCTCTCACTCTTTGCTATACCTGAGATCAGTTCTTTGTGGTTGGTGTGATCATTAGTTTGTTCAATTTTTCTGTTTTGTTCATCTCTTTTTTGAGACAGAGGGGAGAAACATTCAATAATTATTGATTGTGAGACATATGACTTTTACTGGAGATCCCATTTAATCACAAAAGCTGATTTATTGTTGCCTCTTGGACAATCCCATTAAATCGCTGTCCAGCTAATCAACTCCATTCAGCTTCCAGGAGGTCTAATCTGTTACAGGACAAATCCCTGGGTAACAGGCTTGCTGGGAAACAGGAGGGAATATTCCATTGGTTTTGCTGGGAAATTAAGAATATGGTTCAGTGAACAAAAAAACTAATTCCCAAAATTCCCAAAACATTTTTTCCATCCAAGCCTGCAGTCCCATTTTTTCCCTAGTACTAGTTGCACACTGTGTTTGTTGTTATTTTCAAGCATATATTATGTGGCAGGATACATGTAAGGAAATCTTTTTTTCCTGGCTCCATTATCAAAGGTGATTCACATAGGTAGCTAACATTTTATACATACTATCCATGTATACAGCTGGGCATGTACTGATGTAAGCTAAGTACCTATACTCAAGCGTGCAACATTGTTGGCTGTCGCGGGGGTCAAGCCCGCAAACTATCGGTGGGTTATAAGCCAATTGACAGCTGTGTTACACTGCTTTCCAAACTGATGCGCCTATTTTTTGTGGCTTATTTTTTTTGTTTCAGGTGTTCACTTTTCATGAGTGAACTGGCCTTTGCCACATCTTCAGTCACTTGCCTGGGGTTTCGGCCCATGTTTCCACCTATGGGCTCCACCCATGGCTTTGTGGTTTGTAAGTTGGACAATGTCAGCTTGACACAACACAACATCCTTGCTCAGTCTGCAAGATACATGTATGCATTTGCATTCACATGCTTATTTGAATATGTACAAACCTACATAATGCTGCTTAGACTGTACATGAAATGAAAACATTTATTTGAGAGAGAGAGGTTGTCTTTTAGAGGTGTATATTAGGCATCCTTGCTGTGTCTGCACATGCAGTCTTGCATGTGCTTGTGTAGTGCACTGTGTGCTTGTGTGTGTGAGTGGGTGTTTGTGTGCGAGCTTGTGTGCTTGTGTGTGTGCACGTGTGTTTGTGTGTGATTCCTCTGTGCCTAAATGAACTGATGGGAGTGGGGCTGCAGAAGGCACTAAACCTTTGTCATAATGATATTGTGCGAATAAAGAGTGCAGATGTTGCCTGCGCTCCCCTCTGTGCCATGTGTGAGGAGCAGAAGGGAGAGGCCCATGTTTATGAGCCCCACACACGGCGCACGGAGTGTGTCCTATAAATGGAGTGTAACCTGCACATTCTTGATTCAACTTTATGACTGCAGCTCCACAAAATAAACCCGTTTATTTGTCTTTGTTCCGACCAAATCTCGAAAACTGGAGATGCTTTGACCCGATAAATACTGTAATTTTACCATCAATATGAACATACTGTTTGTGTAATCTATATATATTTTTAATCCAAAACCCTACTGTGAATAAGAACATTACGCTTTGCTGCGGGCAGCACTGTGCACTCCTCTAATTTGCCAAGGCCCCCCTGCTGGCCTCAAATCTCTGGTTCTGGTCAGTCAGCCCTTCCATCAGGATGCAGGTCACACAAGGAGGAGAGATGAACACTACACAGCTACCTCTCAGAAAAGTTCTTTCAAGCACCTGGACTTATTTTCTCTGATGTGAAAATTCAGAGAAGCCACAATGTGGTTTAAATAGGCAGACATGCATTACCTCAATGTGTTCATGAAGCAGTTTGGTTGTACCTCTATTTCAAGACTAGGGATTTCCACATACAAACAAAATATGTAAGGAACAAACTACAACAAGCTGTGTGTTTGGTCAGTATACAAGCTCTTCTGGTAGTGATGGTGATATGGCCAGAAGCAAAGCCAAGGGCTGCACCACCCCTAAAAATGTGCATCTATTTAGTCATCCTAATTTTGGCCACCCAGACTTTACAATAAATAAATAAAACCACATTCATATTTGCATTGTGCATAAACAAAGGCATCTCCCAATTCATCATACATCATACACATCAGCACAAGGCATTGCAGTATCTTATAATTCAACGAAAATCTCTTCCCTGACTGTACTATAGCAATTCCTCATGAATACCAGCAATTCTATGGATAAATGGGAAATATGGAGTTAGGCAAATAGTGATAATGGTTAACACTCATCAGAGCCTAACGACAGTACTAGCTGTTTGTATACTAAACACATGCTAACATAATTAGAAATACTGAGTGCTCTTTACTGTGAATGATAAGTGTTGACGTCCAGGGTGATCTTCATACTGATGAGTATGAGGATGGCGGAGAGGAGGATGATGTGGTGTGGTAGCTGCCTAACCTCTACCTATACGTCATCTAGTTCCTGCAGCCTCATTGGCTGACTCTGTCATAATGGCTGCACCAGACAATAGATGCAGAAAACTCTGCTACAATGTAAGACAAAATGGTAAATGTATGAGTGACCATGTAGTCCATGGAATTTGCAGATAGCCCACTGTACTAATGGTACACTTTATTAATCCCCTTGGGGGATTAATGTGCATTTCTGCATTTGACCCATCTGAAGCAGTGGGCAGCTGCAGTGCAGCACCCGACTCCAGTTCTTTTGTCAGTGCCTTGGTCAAGGGCACTGACAGGAGTTTTAATCTTAACATGCATGTCTTTTGATGGTGGGAGGAAACCGGAGCACCCAGCAGAAACCCACGCAAACACGGGGAGAACAGGACCTGGGATTTGAACCCAGGATCTTCTTGCTGTGAGGAAACAGTGCTAACCACTGAGCCACCATGCTGTAATTATTTCTAAGATATCTAACTTTTTAGTACAACCCTTACTCCCTTGTGTCTCAGTTGATAGACTGGAAAGTAACCTTTATAGCACATAACCATAATCCTTTATTGAAGTGGAGGAAGATTCTTACTGACTCTTCACCAATTCCATAATATAATTAATTCAATACAGATCCATACATTCACCAAACACAAACTTTTCAAAATGGGTTTTAGTGATTCTAGCATACACTCATACTGCACAAACAACAATTGTGACAACTAACTCCATGCTATGTTGGTCAAGCCATGTGGCTCAGCCAACCTGTTAATCAGTTCTGGAAGACAGTCAAGGAGAAATTATCTTGAATCCTTGGTCACAGCATCCCCTCCCCTGCTCTCTCTCTCTGATTAGAGATCTGTTAGATTTCACTCCATCACAGAATTGTTTTAATTGATATTGTCATTGCAAACAAAGTCATTTTAGTAAATTGTAAAGAAGACTCAGCTGTCACTCATTCATTAATTAAATGCAATGCTTGAACATGCAAATTAAGACCTAACATCATCACTCTAAAACCACTCATAACATTATACTGACATATGGAATTAATTTCTTAGCCTTGCTTGACCCTCCCTCTTAATAGACATCCCTATGCTATATTGACATTCTATGCATTTACCGAGTCATGTTACTAATATCTTTTTCTCTCCACTTTTAGTATCTATCTTTATTTTACATTGTTCATCTGTCTTACTTGTGTATTTAACATTTCTGTGGGTATTTATTGTTTGTTTATATTGTGGTATGTGTATCACTGTGACATTTTTGCGTTTATTGCTGCCCTTTATATTAGCCACACACACACACACACACACACACACACACACACACACACACACACACACATATACACATGTATAAGAGACGTTCAAAGCTGGAAGCGCATGGTTTACTCCTTGAATGTAAGGGCTCTCTCACTATCAATTATGAAGAATTAAAACGAAACAAATACAACATCTCTGCATCACTGCTATGATACAATGTAAGCTTAGCAGTAGAAACGTCCATTTCTTAGAACCCCCTTATTTGAATGTGGAATGTGGTGCTTTGTCATTAATCCTGGTTTGTGTTTGCTAGCAGTTATATTTTACTGTATGGATGTGAAACTTAATTTAGCCGTAAATCAGATATAGTGTACAGTTATATACATACTAAATATATGCAGTTATATAAATACTAATAACCATAAATACGTAAGTAATACATGCTATATTTACAAATAATCTTAATACCTATTTCCGTATTTATTTCAATGTATTGGTAAAGAAATTCTTCACGCAAGGTTATAATAAGTTTCCAGTGCGTACATCAGCATACTAGAGTTCATTTTCATCTGTCATTCAGTGCAAATGACATGGAGTCCAGAGGTATCTGTCTGCAAAGGGTTAGGGTTGAGCTCATTTTTGTTTTATTTTCATTTACCAGGTGGCGTGTGGTTGTCATAGTCTTCACTCTCCAAAATGCACTGCTGCATACCTCAGATGGGGTCTTGGCTATATTTCCATCACTGATGTAGATTAGGCCTCTACTAAAAAGATCTGTCAATCAGTATGGCTTTAGAGAAAATAGGTCCACTTCAATGGCAGTGATGGAACTGGTAGAAGAGATTTCTACTGCAATGGACAACAAGGAATGTACTGTGGGGGTGTTTATAGACTTAAAAAAAGCATTCGATACTATTGATCATGACTTATTAATGAAGAAACTGGAGAGATATGGTATAAGAGGGATAGCATACTCATGGCTAAGAAGTTACCTTGATGACAGATATCAATACGTCCAAATAAATAATGTCAAATCTGATTTGCTGAAGGTCACTCGTGGTGTTCCGCAAGGTTCAGTGCTAGGCCCCAAACTGTTTATATTGTATATAAATGATATTTGTAATGTGTCTAAATTGTTAAAATTTGTTTTATTTGCTGATGACACTACCTTATATTGTTCTGGGAAAAGTTTGGAACAACTTCTGAATACAGTAGAAAGGGAATTGAAAGTATTAAAGAAATGGTTTGATATCAACAAGTTATCATTGAATTTAAACAAAACAAAGTTTATAATATTTGGTAATCGGCAAATCAATAGTCAAGCTAAAATTATGATTAATGATGTTGAAATAGAAAGAGTGTATGAAAATAAATTTCTGGGCATAATAATTGATCATAAATTATGTTGGAAACCACATATAAATAATGTAAAAACAAAAATTTCTAAAACCATTGCAATATTAAATAAAACTAAAGATATCTTGAATCAGAAATCACTATATATACTGTATTGTTCTCTTGTAGTTCCATACATTACCTCCTGTGTGGAGGTATGGGGAAACACGTACAAAACCATCACAAATCCAATTTTCATGCTACAGAAGAGAGCCATAAGAATTGTAAGTCGATCAGATTATTATGAACCAACCAACGCACTATTTATTAACTTAAATACTTTAAAATTTTGTGATCTAGTTGATCTTAAAACTGCACAGATAATGTACAAAGTACAAAACAATTTACTTCCTAACTGTATTCAGAGGTTGTTTCAAATTAGAGAGAGCCAATAGGGGAATATGCATATTTAAAAAAGGAAAGGTAAGAACGAATGTAAAAAATAGATGTGTATTTGTCAAAGGGGTAAAATTGTGGAATAGTTGTGACAAGGAGTTAAAAATGTGTAGCTCACTTTGTGAATTTAAAAAATGTTTAAAAATAAGGTGGTAAACAAATATATAACTGATATATAATTTGTATTGTGTATGAATCGTTTGGAACTTTTGTTTTTGCTTTGGTATTGTTTTGTCTTGTATAGCCTAAACCCAGTAGAAAGGGTTGCCTATCAAAACATGTTATGTAAAAAGGGTAGGTAAAATAAGCTAAAGCTTCAGCCTACACCTTTTCGGTCAATATTTATTGTTGTTTATTTATTTCTATGTGTATTCATTTTGTAAAGTTGTTAATAAGGCCCGAAATAAACTATTACTATTACTATTATCTGTCAATCTGGGAATGGCCAGCATTGGTTCCTTGCCAGTAAGGTTCTGTCGATGCCAATGAGAGTGGGGACAGATGTTTGTCATTACCTCTATTGATAAGTGCAGGGTCAATAATGTGATTTATTCAATGCAATTTATTCAGCAGGGACAGGGTAAGCTTAAGTCACAAGTTTTACCAGACCCAGATCAATAGTACACAGTGGACAAGTGAAACGCCAATTGTCATAAACTCTGCGGACGGAGTCTGAAAATTTATGTTTGCTCATCCTTGCCACCATACTCAACAGCACCTAAATTACTCACTAATATTTTGTGTTCTGTGGTATTTCTTAGAAGCATTTTCACAGTTTTTGAACAATTTTGTCATCACCCACAGTCATCAAAGCTTTTATTCCAACTGTGAAACTCGCACAAATATTGCTTAAATTCCTGCTGACCTGAATTTGTTCCTTTAGAATGCCTCTCCTGAATAAGGTGTTGATAAGATCTGTGTGCCCTTGCACGTGTATGTGTTTGCATGCAGTGAGTACATGTATCCATGGCTTGAGAGATCCACTTGGATTCTGTTCAAAAATCTCTCAACAGCATTGCACTTTTGGAGTAACACAAATATATCGTACTACTTGTAGTGTGGATTACAGGTCTACTGCTACATATCATAGCCATGTTACAGCTATTCAGCATACTGCAGTGATTCATAATAATAATAATCTAAAACTCAATTTTGTCATTTTAGTTTAAGTGTAGCTAGCACAGCTGGTGGAGAGGAAACAATGGGATAGTTCACCAGCAATAAATAGCTAGTTAACCACAGCAGTTCCATGACTGATGCTGAGAAGAAGGTCTCTTCTCACATAGCTCTGGAGAAGATTTCCTCTGTGCTGTTCACACAATCCTAAGCAGTGAACTTCAGGCAAAGCACCTCTACACTAGCTTTGTGAATCCTCTATCTCTTTTCCAGAGTGATTCCACAACATGCCCCTATCTACACTTCTGGTGTGCTCTGTGTCCATGGGGCACTTGGTAACACTGCTTTAAAAGCCAATTAGCCACAGCAGTACTGGAGATGAGATATGAAGGTTCTGTGTGTCGTGGTGAGTCTTTTGGTTCCCCCTACAGCTGTATCTACATTACCTTTTTGAAGTTGCTGCGTTTTTACGCTCAGTCCTGGGCTGCATCCCAAAAATGCTAAGTTGCGTCCTTTCCTCAATTCCTACATCTTTGTATTGTCTGTGACCCTGAAATTGATAACTGGTCACCACCTTAAAGATTCCAATTCTGTAGGAGACATATGAAGGAAGCAAGATGTCCTTGCTTGTGTGGTCTGGAGGAGTATGTTGGGGGATCAATGTTACATACAACATATACAACATATAAGCATCCAGATTACAATGACAAATCACAATTTTATTTCATATCCATTTAGTTGATTTTTTTCACTCTGAATACTCCATAAAGAGGTGATGCAATATTTGAAATCTTCCTCAATGACATTATAACTTGGTGTTGAATACAAAATTCCATTTTATTGATGAAGAATTTTGCTTGCAAAATAGACAAATTAACCATACATTCCATGTAAAAAACACATATGCTCTGTGAAGAGGGAAGGGATTCCTGATAAACATCATATAAAATTACCAAAGCTTAGTAGAGCAAGGACATTCCATTTCCCTCACTCCATTAGGCACCCCCTACTTTTTCCCTAGCATCTCTTCCTCATCTCTTCAATGGGTGTCACCAAAGAATCAGGGAAGAAATGCAAGGAAGAGTCACCAGTACTCTAAAGTACTAGGATGCACCCTAAGTCACTGCTCTGCGTTTGTCTTTGTAAATCACTGTGTTCTGTAAATTGCCGTAGATAAGGACATGTGCCAAATATTACTACTTCCACTGCTTCTTGTACTACCACTAATGATAGTAGTAATGAAAAATGGATTGGAAAAAGGACATTTATGATAGCATAAAAATCATTC